TACACAAATGGAATAAAGCGTTGGACTTATCACAACGAGTAATACGAATTGTGTTTTTGGACTTTCGCAAGGCATTTGATCTTATTGATCACAACCTGCTATTAGACAACTGTTGTAAAATTGGAGTCAGACCGGGGCTTATTGGCTGGTTGGGGTCATATCTGAGTAAGAGGATGCAAGTGACAAGATTTGGTAACGAACTTTCTACAAGCTGCATGATTAATGGGGGAGTTCCCCAAGGTAGTCGTATTGGTCCAATCGCGTTCGTCGTTCACATTAACGGACTGAAGGCAGTGATAAAAGATACCGAGAGGAGTTTGACTAATTCAAGCAATGATGGACTAACAGGCCCAGTTGTGTAAAAAGTGTCACTGTATCTATTAAATTAGAGCAACATTCCTCAGGGGTTTTGCCCTGTAAATAGAAGTCCGTGATCATGTCTCGGGTACACAAGTTGGGAGTATGAACAATAATATTATGAAAGTTATGGATTTTGCCACGTCTCAAAAAATGGAGTTGAACCTGAAAAAATGTAAGGAAATGCAGTTAGACTTCCGTCAGAACAAAACAGTTATTCCACCACTAACATTCAATGATACAACGTTGGAAAGGGTTTCCACTTTCAAACTATTGGGCTTATGGATTGACGATAATTTAAAGTGGCAAACCAATACTGATTATATAATAGGGAAAGCAGTTAAGCGACTCTTTTTATTAAAAACTTTAAAGAAATACGGTGCTGACAAGACTGATATGAAACGGTTTTACATCTCTGCCATCAGGCCGACACTTGAATATGGAGCGCAAGTCTGGCATGGGGGCCTTACTAAAGCACAGAGCAGCAGTATTGAGAAAGTACAAAGAAGGGCTTTGAGAATAATTTATTCCGAAAAAGATTACGAAAAGTTATTGTTGAAAGCTGGAATGCATACGCTTGAACAACGTCGCAATACTATGTGCATTGATCTTATCAGTAAAATGTCTGACCCGCATCACAAACTGCACCATCTTCTTCCTAATAAACTTTGCAAGGTACGGCAAAGGGTTACACGTCAGAATGGTCAATTGTTTTACAATTACCACTACAGAACAGAACGTTTTCGGAACAGTCCAATCGTTTCGTCAATAGAACTCTATAATAACTCTATTTTATAATATAATATATAATATAACTTTATATATTTTTATCGAAACATTTTTAACACGTAGTGATAGTTTTTGGATCAGTCCATTTGTTTCGCCAATTGAACCTTTGTTAATAACTCTCTTTTTTTAATATAACTATCTCCATTGAAATTTTTATAATACCTAATTTAGATAATTTAGTAATTAATGTATATTTTCTATATATATGTAATGCGCGTTCTAATTTAGTTACTTATTGTAGCTATTCAATGTGTAATCTTTCTATAATAATAAAAAAATAATAATAAAAGCAATATTAAATGTTCAAGCTATGTCGGAGATTATGACAGTACCACACTTTCAGAACTTGTGAAGCAAACCCCCTAAAAGTGCAAAAATATTCTGACATCATCCACATAAAAATATCTCTATCTACACGTCTATACAATTTGAGCCGACGAAATAAATCCTCTAACTGTTCTTTCACAGAAAGTAATCAACTATCTTGTTAAATGTTTTCATACTGTGTTCATCAGAACAAAGATACTCAGCTAGATTAATGCATGGCTCCGTTCACGTATTGACCTTTATGCACCATGCGGGAGACGCGCGTGTTTTGACACCTTAATTTCGTCATTTCGTGGGCGCAATAAGGTTTCAAAATGTCTTCCTGAAAGAACATCACCGACGAAAACGATTACCTCCATTAGTCGCTATTTACTGCCAAAATATTTGACGTCATATATTTATTTCCTCAAACATATGCAGGATGTATTTAACATCATACAAGACAGAATAAAAGTTAATCAGCATTCATGTTAACCTGTCTAACTGTCAATTAAGCAAGGTGCTTAATTTAATGTATATCGAGAAATTAGGGCACCACTTATTTCTTTTAAAACCTGACATTAATTATTTACAGGAACATACTCGTGGTTTGTGGTGGAGTAATTCCGCCGCAAGATTATGATTTTCTCTTTGAGAAAGGCGTTGCTGCTGTTTTCGGTCCAGGTATGTTTTCACGTTAATTTGATCTTTTAAATTATATGTTCAAAAGCTGTGTAAATCGAACAGTGGTTTGATTGACACCTTTCGCCTCCAACACAGTCAACACTGCAAATTGCAATCACAAACATTGACATCACAGACCTAATTCAGACTCCAACTCTCGCAAAATATCTCAAGAAACGGTTTTTGGATTGAGGGTGTAACAGACACTACCGCTACCGTTACCGTTACCATTAACTAATCAGATGCATATATTATTCTACCCAATTAAACAATTAAATGTGTTGAGAGGTGATGTTCGTTCATTTGCACTTGAAATCTCCAGAGTTGTTTCTACAATTATATATACAGTACTCTCCCAAACACCACAAACTTTCTTCCGTGTACTCCAATGTCCCAGTAGTAGTTATACATTGAACCAATTACTGTTAGAATGTCCTGTTGGTTTATCTATGTGTTTTTTAATGGCTGCCGAGTTTATTAATAATTTATTTTAATTATGCTTTAAGGTACAAGAATCCCACAAGCAGCAATGGAAGTATTAAGGGCGATCTCCCCTGATGAGCAAGGTAGACAAACAATGGCATAATTAAGACGTTGCGTTAAGAATTCTACAAATAGTTGCCGTGCAGTAGATTGTCCAAGTGAGGTGAAGAACTCTGAAAATACCTGTTGGTTGAAATTACATAATCTAGGAACACTAACTATAGATGTAGACTACTGTATGGCACGTTTCCTGTGAGGTTTAAGGAGGTTCCCTACAGTTTCCAATATATGTCAGTGTTTTAATTAAACTAAAAGCTATTTGAATCTAAAGCACAAGCCGTTGTTTCCTCTCATATAAAAGAGTAATTTTAAACCACAGTTGCTATTCTTTACGTTACCATGACAACATGACGTCACCATCTATAAGGCCTACATCAACCAAACTTCTTTATTTGAAAATCGTCAGTGTAGTTTTCGAAAAACTGAATTTCAGTCTTTAAGATTGCATTTTAGCCATTGGAAAGGCTGAAATTCAGTTTCTCGAAAACTACATAGGCAATTTTCAAATAACTTTCAAAAAAGATTCAAAACTTCATAACAATGTACTTTCTGTATATATATATATATATATATATATATATATATATATATATATATATATATATATATATATATATATATATATATATATATATATATATATATATATATATATATATATATATATATATATATATATATATATATATACATATATATATATATATACTATATTGGAAACTGTAGGGAACCTCTTTAAGTTGGACAAGGACACTGGCTTTGTTGCTAAAGACGGCCACAGGTCTTGGTTTAATGTTTAATGGTTTTGCATTTCAGACTTTGCTTGCTTTGTAAACTACATGTCAATTAATCTGCCGAGTTCTGTAATTCTAACAGCTTAGTGGTAATATATCCGTGAAGGATGTGTACTGTGTAGCCTAATATTATATTTCCTTGCTTTGAAATATTGGAAATATTGTGTATTCATATTTAAAAGATAATTTTGTTATCATTTAAAATGCATTCTCATGTGCAGGAAAATGTGCAAGTGAAATAAATTTTGCAATTAAAGATTTATATTAACGTTTTTTTGTGGTGTTCTGTGTTCTTTCTGTTACGTTTGCCGATTTAATTACGAGATCACCGGTTCTCATTCCAGTTAGCTAGTCCAGGACGCCCCTGGAACTCATCGGAAATCGCCTTAAACCTCGGAATGAATATAGACAAAATACGAACGCTATTGTTCGGTTATCACTGATTATCCCCGAGCCGACGGCGCGAAGCGCCGTGCGAGGGTACTAATTCCCCCCGGCTATTTACACCCGGGGAAACGAAAGCATTAGCGGAGTCTAAAGTTCATCAAATATCGCGGGCGTGGGTGACCAACCGTGGGTGGTCATCCTCACTGATCTCAAATATATGGCGGGCTGTCATGAACAGCGGACACTGATTGGTCCAATTTAACATTTGCATTATAACGTCTGCATGACGACAGCGAAATAGCAAACATTTCTTGATTTGAAGATTGATGAATTTTTTGCTCGCATTTTTGCAAGATTTTGTAAATTTCAAAAGTTTTCTCATAAAGAAAGGGCAAAAGAATCGGCTAAAGCCTGGTTCACATATATGCCTGCGACGTACCGGCGACGATGCCGGTCGTAGCTTAAAACGTAAATTATGTGTATATTTGTTCGCCGATTGCCTCCAGTGCCACAGTTACATCGGCGGTAGGCCGGGAAAGTTGACTTGAGTTCAACTTTGCCGGTATTTCGGGGGCAAGTAGAGGCATAATGATACAGTCGCAGGCATACCGCAGGCATATGTGAACCAGGCTTAAAAGAAGGGAGCCGACGTTAACGAAGGTAAGTTTGTTTTAAATATTGATTTTATAATGGCTTTAGGGACCGGTCATTATTTATGGCGGGGGGGTGGCACCGAAGAGAAAAGGGTTGGGTAAACTAAATTTTGAGTAACTAAAAGGTTGGGTAAATGAAAAATAAAACAACTCAAGGGTTGGGTAATAAAAAGTTATTGTCATTTCCAAAGCATGACTCACTTAAATATTGCATGGAGACTGAAAAGCAATGTCAACAGTTGTATGTCAATACAACATGTAAATCAATCAGAGTCACTATCTTGATCATTTTCCGATTTGTTGGGAGACAAATGGTGTCTCCAAAGAAAGTACATGTACATACAACATGAAAGTTTAGTTATCAAACTTGTGTCACAGAAGTGGTAAAGGACATGTGTGACAACTGAATGGTATTCTTTTGTAAAGGTTTTGGCCAGGGGTGGGTATTTATTTTTTAATTGATATTTGTGGTTGGGTAATCAAATTTTTTGCTTTTTAATGGTTGGGTCAGCAAAATTTTTACCAGGAAAAACATTTCTCTTCGGTGCCACCCCCCACCATAAATAATGACCGGTCCCTTAAAACCCGACGGCCTTGGCGTATGTGAAACAACCAAACAAGCATATAATTTCAGTGTATCTTTAATATTGATTCCCTTTTTTATTAAATTGAATTTTTTAAATAAAAAAGAAAGCAAAGTTATTTGCAAGCGAGAATTTGAAATTATTTTATTGCAAACTCAAAGTTTATCGATAAAGCCATTTAATTATAAAAGGCTGTTTAGTTTTATAAAGACCACTTTAAAACGTTTTGCGAAGCGTTTGTGGTTGAATTTTATCTTAAATTGAAGTCTATATTACGTATAATAACATACCTAACATATATATGTTAGGAAATTGATAATTTTGTTATTAAAAGTGATATTTTTTTGAGATTTGTAAGAATATTCTTAAAAAAATATCGTGTTACCATGACAAAAATATCGTGTTACTAGATACTTCATGTTCGGAAAATACAATGGTTTTGTCAGCAAGGCGAGTGTTTCTGCATGCAGGTATTTTCTAGTAGTTTGTAATATTAGTGTATTTCGGAATACGTTATTTGCTTACTACATTACATTTTTAAAATTTATTTCTAAGCAGTACTGCATGTGCGTCAAAATACGTTTCTCAGTTGTAATTTGTTGTTTCGATCAAATTCAGTCAATCCAAACAAAAACATAACAATCTGTAACTACATGGAATAAGTCGTTTCTCGAGTCGATTTTAGCCACTCACGTGTCGAAGTTTCAGCATTTTTATTAGCAATTAGTCATCGGCCGGCTATAACGTCGTGAGCTCTGCAAATTGTCTTAAGGTTTCAGGACACTCTTTTTGGCGTTTTGCGGAAAATCTCTATTGCGCGCTCAATATCAGTCCGATTTTCATCAAATTTTCACCAAATGTTCTCCAGTGCATGCAAAATATGGTAAAGTTGTAAAATTGACAAACAATGGAATAATATAAGAATTATTCAGGAAAATCTTAAATCGCGGTACCTATACGCTTTTGAGTTATGTTCCTGCTGGTTTTAAGATATATTTATGAAAATATAATTTTTATGCAGTAAAATAGTTGTTCTAAAAAATCGTGTTCGGAAATTTTTGTTTATTTCGTCATTTCGCAGATATGGCAATTTCTTTGACGACTGCAATATATTTCTGAATCGTTTGAGTGAATTGCTTGCTATTATTAAAATATCCGAAAACCATTTTGAAACTGACGTCTGTAGTTATGTCCTGTGAAAATTTGAGAAAAATTCGTTAAAACCCGCAGGAGAACAACTCGTTTGAAACTCAGTAATTGCCGTAAAATTCTTCCGGAGAAAATTGAATTTGAATATTACATTTTCAATGTTTTTCTTATTACAGCGAAATGTATTTTATTAAATAACTCTGCGAGTTTTCAACATTTTTCGTTCAAACTTGGTCAGATAGTAGAACCAGTCTAATGCTTTCATTGAAACCAATAATAAAATTTGGACAAAATTAACACTCAAAGGTGTTCTGTAACCTTGATAATTCAACTACCGAGTGAGATCCTCGCATGAAACCGATAAAATTTTCTTGCGTATTCAAATACGGATCTATACATATATCTTTCCGGATTCGTTACGTTTTCGATGTGGGATATGGATTGTTCCATCGTGCACGTGACTAAGATTCTTCTTGTCCCCGAGCCAACGGCGCCTAGCGCCATTCAAGGCGTTAGCCCGGGGCGAGGGTGCTAATTCCGCCCGGCTATTTACACCCGGGAAAAGGAACGCAATAGCGAAGTCTAAAGTTCATCAAATATCGTGGGCACATGGCTATGATCCAAGGGTGGACCTCCTCACTGATCTCAAAATATGGCTGTTTGCCAGGAATAGATAAGCACACTGAGGATATTAAAGCAAGATTTCAATTTTCAAAAGCATATGCGTATTTGGAAAATCACGTTTCACACAATGAGCTTTGAAGGAATTTTTGTGTGAAAAAATGAGAAGAATTTATTTACTATGGAAAATCGTGAAATATAGGGCAAGTTTGCTTTGAACGTTTATTAATAAATATTGTTATATAGCTAGCGTGAACACCAAACGTGATTGCCTGATTTGTGGTCACGTGACTTCAGATAAATGCAATGTTTCCCGCCGGGCAACAAGTGCAAAATTGTTGCCCGCCCCGACCGGCCACGTACATAAATAAACAAAATGGAGGCACAACTCAGATAATTAGAAACTACGATTTTCCAAGTTTGTGTTCAAATAAAGAATATAAAAGAGAAGAAAAATACACAACAGGCAACAGGATATGCTGCTGAAACCGTTTAAGTAGGTTCTTTTAATTTTAAACTCGTTTACACTATAGAGTTTTTGTCACGAAATACAATTGTTGTATGAATGTTGTTGAAGTTCATTTTTGTTCGTCGCTATATAACAAAACACTTAATGCCTGTTCCCTCGGGAAATAGTTAGTTTTGTTTTCCCTCGAATCTTAATGTTTCCCTCGACTTCGTCTCGGGAAATATTGAGATTCTCGGGAAAACAAAACTAACTATTTCCCTTGGGAGCAGACATTAAGTGTATAATATATATATATATATATATATATATATATATATATATATATATATATATATATATATATATATATATATATATATATATATATATATATAATCTTGGTTGAGCTATTCTTGTATGAGCTATATATCAACTCACCTACGGCCAGTATAGGGAAAAACAACACGAGGGCACGAAAACTGCAAGAGTATGAAGCAAAAAAGGAAAATATTCGCTTTAAGGTTACAGAACACCTTTGAGTGTTAATTTTGCCTAAAATTTTTTTTATTGGTTTCCATGAAAGCATTAGACTAGTTCTACTATCTGACCAAGTTTGAACGAAAAATGTTGAAAACTCACAGAGTTATTTAATAAAATACATTTCGCTGCAATAAGAAAAACATTGAAAATGTAATATTCAAATTCAATTTTCTCCCGAAGAATTTTACGGCAATTACTGATTTTCAAACGAGTTGTTCTCCTGCGGGTTTTAACCAATTTTTCTCAAATTTTCACAGGACATAGCTAAAGACGTCAGTTTCAAAATTGTGTTCGGCTTTGTTCTAATTTTGGATATTTTAATAATAAGGAGCAATTCACTCAAACGATTCAGAAGTATATTGCAGTCGTCAAAGAAATCGCCATATCAGCGTAATGACGAACTAAACAAAAATTTCCGAACACATTTTTTTAGAACAACTATTTTACTGTATAAAATGATATTTTCATAAATATATCTTAAAACCAGCAGGAACACAACTCAAAAGCGTAAAGGTATCGCGATTTAAGATTTTCCTGAATAATTCTTACATTATTTTATTGTTTTTCAATTTTACAACTTTATCATATTTTGCATGCACTGGCTAACATTTGCTGAAAATTTGGTGAAAATTTGATGACTGATTTTGAGCGCGCAGTAGCGATTTTCCGCAAAACGCCAAAAAGGGTGTCCTGTAATCTTAACTGCAGGAACTTCATAAAGCAGAAGACGTTACAGGAACTTCATAAAACAGAAGAATCAAAAATGAAATTTTGAAGGCATGACCATCTTAGCAGGTCTAGCAATATTGTCAACAAACCTGGAAAAAGAAATTAAAGTTCTCTTCCTGGCCGCAAAATCGAAAAATTTCCTGTATAAGTGAAATATAAAACTTCCTGCATATGTAGATTTCAGAGAACGTGTGATGCGAATGTGATAAACTTCAATCTCGGTACAAATTCTTGAAAATTTTTAAACAACAAGTAAATTATATCAGATTATATGACATTCCAGTATATAAATAACAAAAATTTCCTGTATAAGTCGAATATAAAACTTCCTGCATATGTGTGTAGATTTCAGAGAACGTGTGGTGCGAATGTGATAAACTTCAATCTCGGTACAAATTCTTGCAAATTTTTAAAGAACAAGTAAATTATATCAGATTATATGACATTCCAGTATATAAATAACAAAAATTTCCTGTATAAGTCGAATATAAAACTTCCTGCATATGTGTAGATTTCAGAGAACGTGTGGTGCGAATGTGATGAACTTCAATCTCGGTACAAATTCTTGCAAATTTTTAAACAATGAGTAAATTATATCAGAT